TATATGAATGTGTAATGTATGAATGTATAATGCATGAATGTATAATGCATGAATGAGTCAGGATTTTACTATTATATTTTACAAATGTTTTAAGTTACTCTGCAATAACATTATGTATCGGTTTGTAGTAATATTGCTGCTATCAGATTGGTCGGCACAGTGTGCATATATATTCATTTATTTGTCGTGCAGATGTAGCTGTATTACTCGTGCAGAGGTCTGTGTCTGGACTGATGAACCCAGGTCCACACACTTGGTGGGTTTACAAGGTTTTATATATATTTCTCATATATTGTATATTGTATGTACACATGATAGTAAATGTATCATGTCACGTTTATATTACTCTATTTATATGATACGCATACGCTGAAGCAGTCCCGGTTTCAATAATATTGCAATTCAGGTAAGAAAGGTATTCATTCCTTGAAACCACACTCGCTTCAGTTTTACTTCAAATGTTTTGATACAAAGATGACACCGATACTTTTATACAAGGCTGAAATTTTGGGGTTCAGTGGCATAGAACTGAGTCTGGCAGATGCTCTATTCAGTCGCTCTCTGTTTTGAAATGTGTCAAATGTGCGGGGATCTCGTTTATCCCCCCAAATGTTACAATATGTTGCGGTTGTACGATGAACAAGGCCACGTAAATTGGGTAACGAAACTTAAAACTGTTATTTTCAGTTTAGGATTTGGTGATGTCTGGTACCTTCAAACATGTAGTAATAAAACCGCATTTTTAAATATGTTACGAAAGCGGTTAAAAGTTTCTTTCAGGTTTGGCATATTGATCTATGCGAAAGCCCCCAAATGGCTTATTATGCACAGTTTAAAACATCCATTTCATGTGAGAACTATTTGAGTAGTATTACTGTGAATAAAGTCAGGACCACATTGACTCGTTTTCGGCTCAGTTCTCACAATTTCGAAATTGAACGTGGACGACACTTCAATATTCCTCGTGAATTTCGAAAATGTAAAGTTTGTAACCTAAACCATATCGAAAATGAATATCACTTTTTGTTAATTTTTCTATGTTATAGCCATCTGAGGCAAAGTTTTTACATCTTTCCAAATATTCTGAAGTTTAATACACTACTGTTATCGCAAGACCCTATTATCAATATGAACACAGAAAAGTACTTGTTTTACGCCAATCCTGTAAGAACACAAATACTCCAACTTTGATTATAAGCAAGTATGTTAAAACGGCTTTTAAAAGAATGCAAAGGAATGCATTGTATTTTATACTGTTTGCACCTACATTGTATTTCGTTTGTACAAAAAGGACCGTGGCCTACAAGTACTGAATAAAGTGAAGACTTATTATTCGTAATAGAATATATTCTTCCTTCAACTGTGCGCGTTTTCTCGGAAACAACAAAAAGTAGAGTCATGGAGCTTATGTAAGTGCACTGCACCTTTTATATTCCAACAACCTCTCAACAACGACAACCTGGTACTTATTTACAGGTTTTCTTTGTGGGTCATAACTGACGATTTTGTTAAATCTTGGTACAAAGGTGTATCTAGGAACACTATACAATATGACTATTTACGTTACCACCAAGCTTCCATGGAAACGGAAAGGGCATCTGCAGAGCTGCTTAATCATATTCCGAGATTTCGTTCAAATATGGCATTTAGGTACAATGTATTTCAGGACTCAACAGAATAGGTTTTCTTACCATCATGGCAATATAACCGAGGCATCTGATTGGTCGAAATTTAGTTGTAGGATTTCGTTAAAGGGATATTTAGATATATTTGTGCACACAAAGCACATTTTATTACAATACGAACGGAATGGAGTCCTCTGATTGGTCGAAATTTAGATAGCTAATCCTATTTAAGACTATTTGACCATACAAATAAGTGCTCTTTATGAAACTATGTGTGGATGATCAGCACAACATACATTAATATAACCTCATTCAGAAATCCAAGAAGGTGTCACAGTCGCCATTTTGTAATTTACAGGTCTCAAACATCTAAAAGAGTAAATAGCTATTTATGAATTCCTTTTGAAAGCCCACGTGATTATCATTTCATAAGATTATTGGTTCATTATACCCCCGCAACGAAGTTAGGGTGTATAAATGGAATCAGCGTGTCACCCCGTCTGTCTGTCCACAGAAAATAACTTTCCGAACAATTCCTTCCAAACTAATTGTCTGTTTTCCATTAAACTTTGTACACGTGGCCACATCAACATGTTGTTGGGCACATTGCAATTGTTTTGTTTTTCATTTGGGCGGAGTTATTGCCTTTTGTTACTTCGTCCTTTCAATTTGCCTGGACAACTTCTAAACTACTCCATCGATTTCTTTCAGATATGTATGTAGGTGTAGCTACAGACACTGTACGACATGCCTTCATTAGTTTCCCAAGTTCCCCAAGTTAGCTTATTTTTTATCCAATGTCCAAAAGGCTTATGTTACGTATTGTCATCCGTCATGCGAAATCTATTCACAATCCAATACGATTTATTCATAAATATCTCGAAAGATATCATTTACAGCTCACCTGGTACCAAGTTCCGTGGTGAGCTTATGTCAGTTCCCACAGAAGATCGAATGGTCGGTTCCTAACATACATGAAATACTCTACAGGCCGTATGCCTAATGTTCTTTTTCGCAATTTTCAATCAACAATGGTCTTACTACAGGATATGCTAAACTGCCATAGAAAAGGTATAGACGTCATATCCGAAAAATATAAACTTTAAGAGGCTATATTTGACTCGGCACCAACGGTTCTTTTTTTTTTAAACCAAACATCATTGCATTGGAATTCCTGTCGTTTGTAATAGCATATGATTCTGGTGTATGCTTAACTGTCATATCCGTAATACTGCAATAAAATGTCCATTATTTTATGCCTAAAACTCTGTGAATGGACAATTATAACAACCTACCACCATCTACAACTTGGTCTGATCTGCTTGGGCTGAGTCCTCCTTTCCGTCGTTGCGGAATTAGGATAGTGACCTTGCAGAGTATCGAGAAATAACCTTTGTAAAACAGTAAGTTTCATCAAAATCGGTTTAAAGGGTTAGGGGTCATAAACCCTTTTATGAAGCCTGAATATAACAACCAGATGTACGTTGTAGAGAGGGAATATAAAAACGATTAGTCATTTGCACATCTAGACAAAGTAACGATCAATTAAATCTGCGAAGTTTCATAAAAGTTCGATCAGTATTATTTTATAGTGATAACCCTTAATGTGAAGAAAATATTATCTACTTTACATTAAGAGTATGTTTTACATTAAGAGTTGTTACAAAGGTGAACCCGCAACCCTTAATGTAATGGTGTGGATTGAATGCTTGCTGTAGATGGGATTGTGCATGCTCCTATATCTGAATGAAAAAACGCTGTGCGCGTCTACCGCCTGCCGTGGTTGGGGTAACCGCCGCGGACGTTGTGCAAGGTGTTGTTAGCAATAGGTTTTGATTTACATGAATAAGAGTTCTAGTTCCCTGATGCAGCCTTGTGAGGTAAATCACCGTTGTTAGGCGTAGATCGACGCAAGCCCCAACTGATGACGTGATATGAATGAACGTCTAGGCAGAAGTGTACATACATATAAAAACAATGAAGTCTTTTCTATAATTTTAAGAACTCTTCGCTAAAGGCAGAGTACGTTGGTATGAATTAATAATGTATTTTCTGCGCTGAAATGCACCTAGTTTTCGACTCGTCGCTATCACACCAAATAGTAGTGACAATACTAAAGTAAAAAAATATCAAACTTATCATCCAGTGTTGTATATAAATACTATAACGATTATGACCCGGAAGCCCCTCGGAGCATGATATATGTTTGATTTACTTCAAAATATTAGGGGACACGTGTGGCCCAGCGTCTGAGGCGCCGCAATTCGCTGTGCGTTCCTTGGGCACGCCAGAAATGTAAATAATATTCGTTGACAAATGCAGATACTGCAGTACTCATCGTCTAAACCGCCCTTCGATGCCGAAAGCTAAAGGCCGAGAAGAAATGAAACAGCAATTGTGCTCGGTCGCCTGGATTTCACAAATTTCCTGTTTCATTTCTTACTCGTATTTGTCTAACTGTGTCTTCTGGTTCTCTGGGAGTTAATGTTTGAATCTGGTGGTTACTGACCATGTCATTTGAAATAACTGCCTTCTCCCTGACATATTTGTTCCGGTTCGTTACTCTTGAAGTTCTTCTTCCCTTTTGCCTTGATTGACAGTTCCTATGGCAGCTCACGTCACAGTATGTATGCCTACGCCTGAAGTGTCGTCACACAAAGATAGCCAGGTGATGGGTCGGGTACGACGTCACAAAGAGATAGCAACAACAGGTCAGGAGCACCAAGAATGGTCTTTGTGCCATGTAGAGCTGGGACGAGTCCAAATTTACTACCTGGGTACCAAGTCCCTATTACCCGACCCTACCCGGGTACCCACTGTAGGTCTCACATGTCTCAAAATGTCCGATTAGGAACATTTTTAGCATAGCCCTGGCAAAACGTATTTATAAACATGTATTAAACAATCTGGCCATGCATACACTGAAGTTTAATTAAGTTATATCTTTATTCAACCATATGCAAAATCAGAAGGAATGGGTGTATAGTCAGAAAGAAATGCGAACATTAGTGACTTGTAGAGTTCTAGATAATTTGTGTCATTAAACAATATAGCAGGTGAGTAACCACGGTTTAGGGTAGTCCTACTCAGTACCCACCCGACCCGTTCCGAGTTACCCGTCCCAGCCCTTGTACCCGTATCAGGAATAGTTTCTGTCTTCAGCACAAGAAATCACTTTAAATACTAGTCTTCATCACATCTTGCTAATATTGACCTTTGGCTGATTACCTAACAATATTAGGTCAAACGTGTGTGGCATGATCGGTTATCATATTCACACTTTAAGGTAAGATATCATGGACTGGCTGACATTAGCATGGGATAACTTTCAGAATGTCCCAAAATGCAACAGTATAAACCACAAGCACAGCCACATACTGCATATTGGTTACAGTTTATTGTCAAACATTATATTATTACAGAATGGTACAGATTTGTCAAATAGAAAAATAATGTATATAATAATCATTAAAATTCAATTATATACACATCTGAGCAATACAATCAATAATGTCATAAAATGTACACTGGTTCCTGTTGCATAATCAGTATAATACATGAGAGGTTGGATCCTACTGATGTACATTATGGAGCAAAACCCCATGGGTAATGCAACTATTTCAGAACACTGTAGTAGAATACTTAAAGACCCATTCTGGCAGAAGAAAAGACAGATCTAACATAAGATAAGATAAAGTGCCCAGTGGTAATATACCAATGTAAGATTGCACTTAATATGACAAGTCACAAAGATGTAAAATGGCAGAGCTGAACATGAGAGTATTAGCAGCACTTTGATCAGACAATATGGGTCTGTACAAGTGAGCCAGCATTCCTCCACTACAAATCACTCAAGTATTATCACAAAGAAAAGCTTGTATCTCCGACAAACTGGAATGTTAAAATAGAGAAATCAAAGAAAATAATTGACGGTTTTTTTATTCACACACAACCCAGCACAAGAAAACGTGCATAAAACATTTGAATCTATTTCTAAAATCATTTAAGCCTCCAATCTAACAGGTGAAAATTTGAAATTGATCATATATCCTTGAGTGTCCTTTCTTTCCCTGTTACTACTCATTTCTTACAATCATAACACAGCCAATACTGATCTGTAGGAGTTGAGCCATGATAATCCTCCTGTAGTGGCACATACATCCATGCAGGACACCATACCCCACACTTCCATGCACAAGTAAACTGAACATAGAAACACAAGGCATGTCGGGCTGGTTGTCAATTAAGAGGCTGCTGTTGAAACAATGGTGGTGTGAGGTTATGAGGCAACAGCGTCGTCGGAGGACCTGTGAAGGACTGCAGACAATGTTTTGAGTATTTATTCACATAAGGTATTGACAGTTTTCTTGGGAATTCAATATACTTTTACTCTCTTGGGTCCAGTCTTTTGGGTTACTAACAGATTTTGTTATAAAAGAATAGCGCATGTGCTGCCCCACGTGAATCTCATGTCACGTACCATAACAGTATTACAATGAGCATGATGTTCACATCATGTACCAGATATACATGTCTGCATTCAGTAAGAAAAGACACTAGTGTATGCAAGATGAAAATGTTGATATACTGTTAAAATTAATTGGCTTATTTTGTTTGCCTATTTTACACAAATATAAAGCTATTTGGAGCTCTGCATGTGTTACAACCTGTCAATGAATCAGTGCGCAAGGTGAAAGTCTTGTGGAACACAAGTCCAGTAGGCTACATTGCCTGACCTGCCTTGTACATAGGTCGAGAAGGCTACATGCCTGACCTGCCTTGTACATGAGTAGGCTACATGTCTGACCTGCCTTGTGGTACACAGGTCCTGGAGGCTACGTGCCTGACCTGCCTTGTGATACACAGGTCCTTTAGGCTACGTGCCTGACCTGCCTTGTACATAGGTCGAGAAGGCTACATGCCTGACCTGCCTTGTACATGAGTAGGCTACATGTCTGACCTGCCTTGTGGTACACAGGTCCTGGAGGCTACGTGCCTGACCTGCCTTGTGATACACAGGTCCTTTAGGCTACGTGCCTGACCTGCCTTGTACATAGGTCGAGTAGGCTACATGTCTGACCTGCCTTGTGATACACAGGTCAAGTAGGCTACATGTCTGACCAGCCTTGTACATAGGTCGAGTAGGCTACATGTCTGACCTGCCTTGTGGTACACAGGTCCTGTAAGCTACAAACACTGAGAACAATACATGAGGGAAACAATATTTCATAAATGTTTCTGATAAAGAAACAATAAAAATATACAGCTGTTTCCTCTTTGTGCAGTTGCTAGTGGGGTAAGAATGATCTCGCATCTACCAATGTATTGATACATTTACCCTTAAAATCACATGTCTAAAATTCTCTTCAATAATGCAGATAAATATAAAAATGCATCCAGAATGTGTCAAGGCACTGTAGCTCACCTGGGTTTGTAGTCAACAGTCTTAAATGTCCAAAAATACTGACGCATAGAAAAGCTTGAAATTCAAATATTTTCTTCACGAGGAAGAAAAGCTAAAATTAATTTATATTGGTTTGAACAAAATAAGTAAAATCTAAATATTTTTTACATTTGTATACTTATCCTGCATTACTCCTTAATGCATTCACTGCTTACCTTACGACAACTAGAAGGACAGCGCAACTGCGAAGGTCCTGGGTGAAGAAATAAAGTTGTTGTTCTGAAGTCCCAATTACTGATCTTTTGTCACTGTCTTGTGACCTTGATTACATCTAAGGTCATCTTCACATCAGTGCCTGTCGCCCACGCTCTTAGAAAAACATACTTTTGAGGTTTCTGAAGCCAAAGTGGGGAGGCAAGTCTTGCGACTGGTGGGCCTTAAACGTAGTAATGCAGAATAAGCATACAAATGTAAACAATATTCAGATTTTACTAAATTTTATACTTATCCTGCATTACTCCTTAATGCATCTGTATCGGACGGTTTGGAGGTTGGTAAACCTTCAGAATACAGAAACCTCAATAATTCACACCCTGCAATGAAACCAGTTGGTCGATAAACCATGAAGCGGAAAAGTTTTAAAAAAAATACTGTTCAAAAATCAAAAAGATTGAACATTTGAATTAAAGAGAAATTCCCTATACATACATACATACATACATACATACATACATACATACATACAGAAAATAATAGCTAATCAGCTAATTCTTTACTTGCTACGTCATAGAGCCGTCGTAGACAAACAAGATTGTCTAATATTCTTCCACTGGCGGCGACTGAGTAACTGCAGATGGAAGTAGGCTGGCTCTGTATTCATTATTTGCGTCAGGGGTTGGTAACCTGCTGGGTTACAACCAGAGCGCCAAACTTCACACGCCTTTGACATCCTCTAACGAAAACCTGTGTTGAAACTCCAGAATTATCCTTCCTTGATTTTCAAATAAAACAACTGCCGTGTTGATCCCTGGTAAGGCTAACACCCTGAGATCGTGATGGTTATTCGCTCTCGGCGGATTCTGTTTGGCGATCTGGTAGGCCTGAAGGATTACTGTGCATAACCATAGAGATATGGAGTTTGCGACTAACTTCGGTCTTGTAACTGAGACACAAAGGTCAAAGGTATTGACTGGACCATGGCTTGCATCTATTGTCCCTCCATCATAGCATCTTAAGACGCTGGTGCTGTCACAGATTTAACATATATGGAAGTGTCCGGCGGCTGAAAAACAGGAGCAGTAACGATACTCACAAAATCCTCCGGTATTGTTGATTTCGGTGGAGGGTGTACATCTGCAGTCACAGTTACGGGCGTCATATTACCTGCCAATAATAACTGCTGGGTGGTAATGACTGAACCATGTCCTTTGCTATTCCACAATTGTGACATTCCTCTCGTCTCACGACAGGATTACCGCAAAATATGATTGTGAGTAACCTGCTTTTATATTGTAGAGATTTACACAAAAATTACATTTAGAATTTGGCGAGCACATCTACGTGCATGCTGAGGAACGTGGATAAAGATCTTTGGGCGATTTTTTCCACGACAATATGTACAACACGCAAACATAAGTTATGCAATAAAACCATTGTTGAAGAAATGGTACTGGAAGAATGACGTAGAATTGAACAATAATCTATCTGCAAAAATATCAATGTAAACCAAAGCTATTTGCTTTTAGATTTTGACGAACACATATGCATCTAAGCCAAACGATGTGGATGATAATCTTCGTAAGATTTTTTTCCACGACATTTAGTACAATCGCGCAAACATAGGTATGCAAATAAATAATTGTTGATGAAGCAGGCCTGGAAGAAAGCCATAGATTTGATATTAATCTATCGGCAAACATATTTTTAACAAAATAATTTATATACACGCAACTCACTGTCACGCCAAAGCTAGTAGTAATTAAGAACACAAGAATATGTTATACATACGTTGCTAAGAATTGTAAACAATGTGACTACCTTGGCAGGCAAACGATTGAAACACAATTCAAAATGGCGAACAACAAATATGTGGTGGGAAAAAAAGACGAGTCTTTTCATGCCTAATTAATTCATATAAAACTACACAACATGGTGAAAGTAATATGAAAAGAAAAGAATACATCACCCATCGCAGATCAATTATAGGATTGTAGACGAAAACTGAAGGTCTAAATTAATCCAAAAGGAGAGCTCTTGCTGTGCTGCGACAAGCAGTGATGTGAAGATGACCTTAAGTGTCATCAAGGTCACAGGACAGAGACAAAAGGTCAGTAATTGGGACTTCAGAAAAACAACTTTATTTCTTCACCCAGGACCTTCGCAGTTGCGCTGTCCTTCTAGTTGTCGTAAGGTAAGCAGTGAATGCATTAAGGAGTAATGCAGGATAAGTATAAAATTATGATGTCATAATAAGGAGAAAAATACATGCCAAGCTTCTCAGCTCCCTCAGTCTGGCAATATCAGGGAAGAAGATGCCAATAAATATTAACTAAATGCAACAGTTTGGTCAAAATCGAAACTGTTGCAAAAAAACAGACCATATGTGTTGAATCCTACAACTATATTAACAAATTTTTACTATATTTAAGTACAAAAATGGCAGAGCAATGGCTGTGATAGGTTTTTGCATGCAGTCTGATCAATTCAAGATCAACATTGAAAACTATCACAAAGAAAACCAGAAAATATACTGGTATGACGCTCTACAACTAGACACCACAGAGGTGGTCTAACAGCATGTACACACTTCCAGCTTCATTGGTTCACTGGTTTCTAGGGAGAAGATGCGAGGAAGTGTATTTTGAAGGGAATTATGAGGATGGAAAAGTGCAAAGTTAAAAATATAGGTAAAAAATATAAACATTGTGAAAAACAAAACAACTTCTTACTTTAACATCTAGCAAAGTACATAGCATTACGCAAAATGGCCACAAGAAACCTCAGCTTTCAGTATGGTCGAAGTGAAAAGGTCAAATTAACATCCAAAAGAAATATCACAAAAATCATAATATATAGAGAGACTAACTACACAAATACAAAATTTCATTCCATTTTGAAAAATTAATAATGGTTGAATACTGTCCATAAATATGTTTTCAAAAGGGATGTCATGGCAGCCATAATGATAATTGGAATCAGGTCCTTGAACGAATCAATGTCATCATTGGGAACAAGCATGTGAAGTTTCAGCTATTTCTGACAGATGACAAACAGGCAATGACATAAGCTAACTTGACTTTCAGCCAGGCGAGCTAATAAAAATGAGATTCTCCGAGTAAACTTGGTAAAGTGACATCTTATTCTCCAGAAAGATAAACTTTGCATAGTTAAGCAAATCACCTAAAACTCTGCTATGTTTATGTTGGATACAGTAAGCACCTTGGACATGCTAAAACTGTCCATAAAGACACATACAGAAGTGTCATCAACAGGCACAAATGTAAGGGCAAGCAATAGATGGCATGACAGCAAAAGGCTGTCACAAGCAAAAGAGCTAATCTCTACTAAACTGATGAGTATTTCCAAATACTATTGAACAGCTGTTATTTGTTAATGCCAGCAAGCTAGTGACTAGAGTATTGCAAAGAATTCAAGGTAATTTCACTCCTAGATGACAACAACATAGCATACACTCTGCCCTCCATGAAAGAACATACCATCACCCACAGGAATAATACTGCAGGTCTCTTCCAGCTGCTTGTGACAAGGACTGACTAATGTATTTGTAGAGAGCATGTTGGCATGATGGATACACTATGTCTTCTGTCTGCAAGGAAGGTTACCTGCACCTTGTAATGTTACACAAGCACACAGTAAGTACAATGCTTTCAGTCTGCTTTTTATGTTGTTTTCTCAAACAGGATATAAATTTGTTTCAACATTCTACAAAATGTTCAAGTCTCTCCCAAAACACTTCATTATTATAAGCAGGTTAATTCTAGCTTTAAACTTTCAAATTCATTTGGTTACTTTTGAGCCTAACAAGCAAGATATATGTTTTCAATGCATCCAATATTTTTATCAAAGGCTCAATAGCTGTACATGTACTTGTGAAATCAATCTGCTATCATCTTCAACACAGAGAAATCAATGAACTCTAATCTGATTTTAACTTTGAATATTTCAAATTGAAACCTAAGCATATGCAGAGACACATCGTACGAAGAAGCCGATGGTGCAGCTGCAACAGGCTCTCCGGTGTAACATATTGTACATTAAAGCAGCGCCTCCTCCCTGACTTGTAGCCTGTTTACACCAGGACTCCACAATACTCCCTGGACACATGTGGCCTTTACCATCTATCACCATACAACATGCACACAGAGGAGACATCTTCCTTCCATCAAAACAGGGCAACGAGATGCCTGCTTTGTGGAAGTCTACAAAAACAATTCCAGTGATAAAATACAAACGTAGGGGAGAGAATTCACAAAAAAAACACCACCTTTCATAGGTCATCAGTTTTCTCAGGTAAACACAGTCATGCAAGTTCTGTATTTATGGAACAAAAGTATTTGTTGAGATTTTCAAGTTTCACATTAATAGCTCACTCGAATTAAGAATTAAGCCAAAAATATATAAATATTTCACTATTTGTAGAGTTGTCTCCCTTACATACGCATGGTCACATTCACTGAACAACACCTTTATGTAAAGCCCAATATATGTATGCATATACAGCTTTTGTATAAACTCTTCACATCTCTTGATATTTGTGCTTGGCGATGATTCCTTTATATTCTTCTAAACAAATACCATCAATACCAGCTGCAGTGTTGTAAACAGAACAAGTATGTACAATTCCTGAACTCGGGATTATGCCTTTGACATAGATATATACATACAAATATTAGGTCAGACAAACTAATATTAAGTCAGTCAAGAACTGTCCATATCATAGCAACAGTTAGTGGAATGTTTAATTGTTTACTCTTCTTGAACACCAATAATTTAAGGAGTATTGACTGAAACCTTTACTGTCCTACGCCTAGGACTGTAGTGAATATATCCTAACAACACAGTCGTCATAGCAACCTGTATGCCCTTCCATTTATCCATGTATAGTGAAGGATATTAGTATACTAGTAATAAAACATTCCCCCATTTTAAAATTATATACAAAGACTCAGAGCCTATATCACACATTTTCAACATACAAAATTATGCTTGACAATAAAATAATAAGAGGACTTATAACTATCAATATCTCTATTATTTGACAATTTCAAGGTGTATTGTAAGTATTATCACAAGCTTGGAAATGGTGTTTTGCCTACATTCACACAGCTTATTAAACTCTACCTTCAGCAATGCAGATCAAAATCCAAAGATTAACAGGAATTTGGGGTTAACATGTATGTCCACATTTCATTGGTAAACAAAAATTAATTCGAGATGATATCAAGCTTATGTCAGAAAGCTATCAATGTTCCCTCCGAAATAATAAAGGACGTATCTTTCAGAAATATTACCAGAGGTTCTTTTGCAAATGTTTTGTTGAGGTTCTGCCCCTGACCATGCAGCTGTGAGTATGCTGAGTTGGCAGGCAGTGGAGGCGGCCACTGTGGAATGTTGGATATGTGTATGTACATAAGGCAGTGTTACACCTCCCACACTATTATCTCTGCCGACGCCATCTTGCTAGCTGGTCCAAGATCTGGCCCTCCAACATCCGGGACAAGCAGATTGCAATTAACTGGAATGAAAATACATTGTATATATCTCAAGCCAATCATGATTTCAGTGGTACGATCAGACTTGAATTTAAACATCACATCAACATCATTCTTTGGGTTTCAAGTTTAGAGGCCGCAGCACAAGGTAAGACTTTTAAGACTGATGAATCCTTCTCACAAATGTAATACAATGTGTTGGTTTGACAATGTGGAGCATGTACCTGTGACACTGAATGTGCTGGTTTGACAATGTGGGGCATGTACCTGTTGCACTGAATTTGTTGGTTTGACAATGTGGAGCATGTTCTGTGACACTGAATGTGTTAGTTTGACAATGTGGGGCATGTTCTGTGACACTGAATGTGTTGCTTTTAAAATGTGGGGCATGTACCTGTTGCACTGAATTTGTTGGTTTGACAATGTGGAGCATGTTCCAGTGGCACTGAATGTGCTGGTTTGACAATGTGGAGCATGTACCTGTTGCACTGAACGTGTTGGTTTGACATGGTGGAGCATGTTCTGTGACACTGAATGTCTTGGTTTGACAATGTGGGGCATGTTCTGTGACAATGAATGTGTTGGTTTGACAATGTGGAGCATGTTCTGTGACACTGAATGTGTTGGTTTTACAATGTGGAGCATGTTCTGTGACACTGAATGTGTTGGTTTTACAATGTGGGGCATGTTTCTGTGACACTAAATGTGCTGCTTTTACAATGTGGGGCATGTTTCTGTGACACTGAATGTGTTGGTTTGACAATGTGGAGCATGTACCTGTGACACTGAATGTGTTGGTTTGACAATGTGGAGCATGTACCTGCGCCACTGAACGTGTTGGTTTGACAATGTGGGGCATGTTCTGTGACACTGAATGTGTTGGTTTGACAATGTGGGGCATGTACCTGTTGCACTGAATTTGTTGGTTTGACAATGTGGAGCATGTACCTGTGACACTGAATGTGTTGGTTTGACAATGTGGAGCATGTACCTGTGACACTGAATGTGTTGGTTTGACAATGTGGGGCATGTACCTGTGACACTGAATGTGTTGGTTTGACAATGTGGAGCATGTACCTGTGACACTGAATGTGTTGGTTTTACAATGTGGAGCATGTACCTGTGACACTGAATGTGTTGGTTTGACAATGTGGAGCATGTACCTGTGACACTGAATGTGTTGGTTTGACAATGTGGAGCATGTTCTGTGACACTGAATGTGTTGGTTTTACAATGTGGAGCATGTTCCTGTGGCACTGAATGTGTTGGTTTGACAATGTGGGGCATGTACCTGTGACACTGAATGTGTTGGTTTGACAATGTGGAGCATGTACCTGTGACACTGAACGTGTTGGTTTGACAATGTGGAGCATGTACCTGTTGCACTGAATGTGCTGGTTTGACAATGTGGAGCATGTACCTGTTGCACTGAATGTGCTGGTTTGACAATGTGGAGCATATATCTGTTGCACTGAATGTGTTGGTTTGACAATGTGGAGCATGTTTCTGTGACACTGAATGTGTTGGTTTTACAATGTGGAGCATGTTTCTGTGACACTGAATGTGTTGGTTTTACAATGTGGAGCATGTACCTGTGACACTGAACGTGTTGGTTTGACAATGTGGAGCATGTACCTGTGACACTGAACGTGTTGGTTTGACAATGTGGAGCATGTACCTGTTGCACTGAATGTGCTGGTTTGACAATGTGGGGCATGTTTCTGGGACACTGAATGTGTTGGTTTTACAATGTGGGGCATGTTTCTGTGACACTGAATGTGTTGGTTTGACAATGTGGAGCATGTTCCTGTGGCACTGAATGTGTTGGTTTGACAATGTGGGGCATGTACCTGTGACACTGAATGTGTTGGTTTGACAATGTGGAGCATGTACCTGTGACACTGAACGTGTTGGTTTGACAATGTGGAGCATGTACCTGTTGCACTGAATGTGTTGGTTTGACAATGTGGAGCATGTATCTGTTGCACTGAATTTGTTGGTTTGACAATGTGGAGCATGTTCCTGTGGCACTGAATGTGTTGGTTTGACAATGTGGAGCATGTTCCTGTGGCACTGAATGTGTTGGTTTGACAATGTGGAGCATGTATCTGTTGCACTGAATTTGTTGGTTTGACAATGTGGAGCATGTTCTGTGGCACTGAATGTGTTGGTTTGACAATGTGGAGCATGTTCCTGTGACAATGAACATCCTGGTTTGACAATGTGGAGCATGTTCCTGTGACACTGAACATCCTGGTTTGACAATGTGGAGCATGTTCCTGTGACACTGAACATCCTGGTTTGACAATGTGGAGCATGTTTCTGTGACACTGAATGTGTTGGTTTGACAATGTGGAGCATGTTCTGTGGCACTGAATGTGCTGGTTTGACAATATGGAGCATGTTCCTGTGACAATGAACATCCTGGTTTGACAATGTGGAGCATGTTTCTGTGACACTGAATGTGTTGGTTTGACAATGTGGAGCATGTTTCTGTGACACTGAACGTGTTGGTTTGACAATCTGGAGCATGTTCCTGTGGCACTGAAAGTCCTGGTTTGACAATGTGGAGCATGTTCTGTGGCACTGAATGTGTTGGTTTGACAATGTGGAGCATGTACCTGTGACACTGAACGTCCTGGTTTGACAATGTGGAGCATGTACCTGTGGCACTGAATGTGTTGGTTTGACAATGTGGAGCATGTTTGTGTGGCACTGAACGTGTTGGTTTGACAATGTGGAGCATGTACCTGTGACGTCTAACTTTGTTGGTTTTACAATGTGGGGCATGTTTCTGTGACACTGAATGTGTTGGTTTGACAATGTGGAGCATGTACCTGTGACACTGGATGTGTTGGTTTGACAATGTGGAGCATGTTCTGTGACACTGAATGTGTTGGTTTGACAATGAAGAACATGTTGCTCTGGCACTGAACGTCCTGGTTTGACAATGTGGAGCATGTTCCTGTGGCATTGAACGTGTTGGTTTTACAATGTGGAGCATGTTTCTGTGACACTGAATGTGCTGGTTTGACAATGTGGAGCATGTCCTGTGGCACTGAACGTCCTGGTTTGACAATGTGGAGCATGTTCCTGTGGCACTGAATGTGTTGGTTTGATAATGTGGAGCATGTTTCTGTGACACTGAAAACGTTGGTTTGACAATGTGGAGCATGTTCTGTGGCACTGAATGTGTTGGTTTGACAATGTGGAGCATGTACCTGTGACACTGAACGTGTTGGTTTGACAATGTGGAGCATGTACCTGTGACACTGAACGTGTTGGTTTGACAATGTGGAGCATGTACCTGTGACACTGAATGTGTTGGTTTGACAATGAGAAACATGTTCCTGTGGCACTGAAAACGTTGGTTTGACAATGTGGAGCATGTTCTGTGGCACTGAATGTGTTGGTTTGACAATGTGGAGCATGAACCTGTGACACTGAACGTGTTGGTTTGACAATGTGGAGCATGTACCTGTGACACTGAACGTGTTGGTTTGACAATGTGGAGCATGTACCTGTGACAGTGAATGTGTTGGTTTGATAATGTGGAGCATGTTTGTGTGACACTGAAAACGTTGGTTTGACAATGTGGAGCATGTTCTGTGGCACTGAATGTGTTGGTTTGACAATGTGGAGCATGTACCTATGACACTGAACGTGTTGGTTTGACAATGTGGAGCATGTAACTGTGACACTGAATGTGTTGGTTTGACAATGAAGAACATGTTCCTGTGACACTGAATGTGTTGGTTTGACAATGTGGAGCATGTACCTGTGACACTGAATGTGTTGGTTTGACAATGTGGAGCATGTACCTGTGGCACTGAATGTGTTGGTTTGACAATGTGGAGCATGTACCTGTGGCACTGAATGTGTTGGTTTGACAATGTGGAGCATGTACCTGTGGCACTGAATGTGTTGGTTTGATAATGTTGAGCATGTACCTGTGGCACTGAATGTGTTGGTTTGACAATGTGGAGCATGTACCTGTTGCACTGAATGTGTTGGTTTGACAATGTGGAGCATGTTCTGTGGCACTGAATGTGTTGGTTTGACAATGTGGAGCATGTTCTGTGGCACTGAACGTGTTGGTTTGACAATGTGGAGCATGTACCTGTGGCACTGAATGTGTTGGTTTGACAATGTGGAGCATGTATCTGTGGCACTGAATGAGTTGGTTTGACAATGTGGAGCATGTTCCTGTGACACTAAATGTGTTGGTTTGACAATGTGGAGCATGTACCTGTGACACTGAATGTGTTGGTTTGACAATGTGGAGCATGTACCTGTGGCACTGTGACAGCTATGATGATGCCTCCCAAGAGAGGCAGGTTGTCCTCGGCCACCTTGATCATGGCATCCACACAGCCCATGGTGTACACAGACTGACCCGCCTTCGTCGCCTACAAACAGGTACCAGGCATAATGAGCATGATGAGAATAAAACCAAACAGCCACAGAGAAAAAAATCAAGTAGAAACATCACTGAATATCATTCCATTATTCTCATGACCAAAGATAATAGCAGGGGAACTGGTGTAGTGGAGAATTTAAAGACATTTTGCTACTTCTTTGCATACTTACAGATTCACTTAGGGCATCAGCTCCACATAGTATATTTGGCACCCCATCCTGTGAAATGATTCAATAAAATAGACATCAGTATGAAATAAACCATAATTTGTAACACAATTTTCATTAATAATTATCTTTTAGTGTAGGGAGTAGGATGAGTAGGAGTAAGGGTAGGAGTAAGAGTGAGTGACTGAGTTAAAATTTAACGTAACATCGGCAATATTACAGCCATATCGTGACGAGTCAAACATTTGCATACAAAGAAATTCCAACTTGTAAAATACCTGTTGTCAAAGGACAGTACAATAACTAGAGTATCACAGATTTTAGTTAAAACTAGTTTGAGAGTATAGTCCGAGGGGACTTACAATGGGTAGGAGTAAGAGGAGGAGGAGGAGGAGGAGTAAGAGAAAGAGGAGGAGGAGGAGTAAGAGGAGGAGGAGGAGAAAGAGGAGTAAGAGGAGAAAGAGGAGGAGGAGAAAGAGGAGGAGTAAGAGGAGGAGGAGTAAGGGTAGGAGTAGGACGAGTAAGGGTAGGAAGAGTAGGAGTTAAGGTGGGAGTAGGATTAGTGAGAGTAGTAGGAGGAGTATGGATAGGAGGAGGAGTAAGGGTAGGAGGAGGTGGTGGAGTAGGGGGAAGATGAGGAGTATGGGTAGGAGTAAGGGATGGAGGAGTTAGAGGAGTAAGGGATGGAGGAGTAGGAGGAATAAGGGATGCAGGTGTATGAGAAGTAAAGGTAGGATGAGTAAGAGGAGTGAGAAATGGAGTAGGAGGAGTAAGGGGATGAGGGGTGTAAGGGGAGGAGTATGAGAAGTAAAGATGAGTGAGTGAGTATGTTTTTAGCAATATTCAAGCAATATCACGGCAGGGGACACCAGAAATGGGCTTCACAATTGTACCCATGTCTGGAATCAAACACAGGTCTTCGACGTGACGAGCAAACTCTTTAACCACAAGGCTACCCGAACGCCCCGAGAAGTAAAGGTGTGAGGAGTAAGGGTAGGAGGAGTAAGGGGAGGAGGTGTAAGGGGAGGAGGTGTAAGGGGAGGAAGAGTAAGGGGAGGAGGAGTAAGGGGAGGAGGTGTAAGGGTAGGGGGAGTAAGGGGTGGAGGTGTTAGGGGAGGAGGTGTAAGGGGAGGAGGTGTAAGGGGAGGAGTAAGAGTGTGAGGAGCAAGGGTAGGTGGATGAGTAGGAGGAGGAGGTGGGATAGGTGGAGGAGTAAGGGTAGGTGGAGGAGTAAGAGGAGGAGGTGCGATAGGTGGAGGAGTAAGGGTAGGAGTAAGAGGAGGTGGGATAGGTGGAGGAGTAAGGGTAGGTGGAGGAGTAAGAGGAGGAGGTGGGATAGGTGGAGGAGTAAGAGGAGGAGGTGGGGTAGGTGGAGGAGTAAGGGTAGGAGGAGTAAGAGGAGGAGGTGGGGTAGGTGGAGGAGTAAGGGTAGGAGGAGGAGTAAGAGGAGGTGGGATAGGTGGAGGAGTAAGGGTAGGAGTAAGAGGAGGTGGGATAGGTGGAGGAGTAAGGGTAGGAGGAGTAAGAGGAGGAGGTGGGGTAGGTGGAGGAGTAAGGGTAGGAGGAGGAGTAAGAGGAGGTGGGATAGGTGGAGGAGTAAGGGTAGGAGTAAGAGGAGGTGGGGTAGGTGGAGGAGTAAGGGTAGGAGGAGGAGTAAGAGGAGGTGGGATAGGTGGAGGAGTAAGGGTAGGAGGAGGAGAGTAAGAGGGATAGGTGGAGGAGTAAGGGTAGGAGGAGGAGAGTAAGAGGGATAGGTGGAGGAGTAAGGGTAGGAGGAGGAGAGTAAGGGTAGGAGGAGGAGGAGTAAGAGGAGGAGGTGGGATAGGTGGAGGAGTAAGGGTAGGAGGAGGAGTAAGAGGAGGAGGTTGGGTAGGTGGAGGAGTAAGGGTAGGAGGAGGAGTTGGAGTATGGGTAGGAGGAGGACTCACCGAGATGGAGTTCTGGTTGATGCAGCAGGAGTGGGGTACGAAACATCGCAGTCTACTCTTGTTAAGTTGTGTACAGTTGTAGTAAGGGTTGGTGTTCCAGTCCTTGTATCCGTCCTTGGTCACGCCACAACATCGTACCTTACAGTCACAAGCAAAATAATCAGTTTAGAGAAAGTTTTTAAAAGTTTCTACATTAAACAAAAGGAGTTAAGGACCATCCGATTCTTTCATATTACTATAGTTAATCTGGTATGAGAGATTAAATATCTATTTAAGAAAGAAATTAGTAAAATCTAAATATTTTTTACATTTGTATACTTATCCTGCATTACTTCTTAATGCATTCACTACTTACCTTACAACAACTAGAAGGACAGCGCTGCGAAGGTCCTGGGTGAAGAAATAAAGTTGTTGTTCTAAAGTCCCAATCAGTGGCCTTCCGTCGCTGTCCTGTGACCTTGATGACACCTAAGGTCATCTTCACATCATTGCCAGTCGCCCACGCTCTTAGAAAAACATACTTTTGAGGTTTCTGAAGCCAAAGTGGGGAGTAAGGGGAGGTAAATCTTGCGACGGGTGGGCCTTAAACGTAGTAATGCAGGATAAGTATACAAATGTAAAAAAATATTTAGATTTTACTAAATTTTTTACTTATCCTGCATTACTCCTTAATGCATCTGTATCAGATGGTTTGGAGGTGGGTATACCGCTGACAAACAAAATTGTCTAATATTCTTCCACTGGCAGCGACTGAGTGACTGCACATGGAAGTTGACTGGCTCTGTATAGGGCGAGTTCATTATTTGCGTCAGGGGTTGGCAACCTGCAGGGTAACAACCAGAGGGCCAAACTTCGCATGTCTTCGGCATCCTCGAGAGACCCAACCCGAAAAGACCCGAAGGTTATGACTAACGAAAATCTGTGTCGAATCTCCAGAAATATCCTTCCATGATTGTTCCAAAACCACAATTGAGCCGTGTTGAGCCCTCGTAAGGCTGACACCCTGAGATCTTGAGGGTAATTCGCTCTTGGCGAGTTCCGTTTGGCCATCTCGTAGGCCTGAAGGATTACTGCGTGTAACCATAGAAATATGGTGTTTGCGACTATGCGACTATGCGACTAACTTCGGTTGTGTACGAAGTAAATACGGGTATCAATGACCGCTTCCTCGAACCACGCCTAGTCTTGGAGCATCGAATGAAAACTCGAACTGCTCGCACCGAGCCCAGAAGAACTTCACCATGTACGATTCCCACAATAGTCGATATTGGTGGGATGGTGAAGGTCGGGTTGGCCTGGTATGGATCTTAGCAATAAAATCCAAGCATAACCCGAGATGTCCCGCTCCGTGCGTCCCATGTTCAAAACGGATTCGGGTTGAGTCGATCACATGTAGTTCGCTCACCCGTACCGCCGTTGCTAATGCCAAGAGAAACTATTGTTTCCTTGGTGAGGTCATGAAATGAGGCAAGCTCCTCACAGCGATAGCCCGTTCGCAGAGCTCTCTATACTATACTGAGAGTTTAACGAAGGTGTCACGCACTGGGGAGGAGCTTGAAAATGAGGATGTACCACGTTCAAGTCCCAATCAGGTGGCCGGAACTTGGCCTTCTGATCCTCAAGCCTGAATGAGCCAAATAGGGCCTGTAGTTCCGTGACCTTAATCACATTGTGATTTTCCGGAACGGCCAACACTAAGATAATTGCAGCCAATTACGTAGTAATGGTGCTACCTTCCAAGAGTCTTTGGGTACGCAAAAGTAGGAGGTATTCCTCTAGGAATTGTGACGCAATCGTAGGGTCTTGATTCTTTTTTTCCTTGTAAAAAGTCTAAAAAGATCCCCACTTGTCATCATATAGTCTCTGGGAGAGTAACGATGAACTAAAGCTATAGCTTTGCTGCCCGTGTCGAAATAACCCTTTGCACTTAAACGCCTTTTAAAGACGAACCATGCGTGGAGACGTTGAGTGAGGCAATTTGCTGTGAGGGTGGATGAGTAGGTTGGACCACTGTGGGAGGGGTTGTGAATCGTCTTCTGCAAGATTTTTCCGAGCTTGACGAACTACCCTCTCGCCGGTTACAAGGGTTTGACCAAAGGGGAGATGGAGATACCTTGTCTCCTTGATCCCCTGTATCACCTTGGGAAGTAAAAGTGGTGGCAGAAAAGTGTAAGTTTTTAGCCCTTCCCAAGTGATACTGAACTCGTCCACCGCCCAAACGGGGAGATATACGTCATGAGTTGGTGGTCTAGGCAAGTGATAAACAAGTCAATGTTTGGTTGCCTGAATTCCTGAAGCAGTAACTGGAATGCTTCTGTGAGAAATTTCCACTCGGTGTGAGCCACCCTGTCTGGACGTGATAAAGTATCGGCCAGTATGTTTCTACATCCGGGGATGTGCTGAATTATGAACTTTAGTCACAGCCGATCCACTAGATGGAAAAAATCTGAATAGAAGTAGAGAGTGGGAGTGTGTTGTTCCCCGATTGCACAGGCACCACACCGCAGTGCTGTTGTCTTTGGATATTGCGAGTTGGGCTAACTGTAGTTGATAACATGCTAGTTAAGTCCTGTGCCGAGGTGATTAACCCTAGCAACACTTGCCATTGGCGAAGTGTGTGTGGTTGGTGTAGAGTAGATGACAACAGAAGTAGAAACTTGTGCCATCTGTCCCTCGGTACAGATAGGATATCCTGGTCTGTCTTGAACAGGCCTCCTATGAACTGAAGTCAATAGGAAGGAGAATACTCCCGACTTCGCCTCGTTGATTATCTATCCCAGTTATTGACATGTGTTGATGATACAGTAGATTGTCCTCCATCTACGACTCGAACCAAGTGTTCTTCAAGTGTAGATACAGTTATTAGCTTCATTACTCCTGTAAATAGCCATAAGTGTCACTGACATGTCAAATGGGAAATACTACCATTGGTAGTGAACCCCAATGAACTGGACCTGAAGAGTCTACGGTTGGGATGGATAGTCGAAACTGATCAAGAATCAAATGTTCGTTGAACACAGAGAGATTGTGGATCATTCTCATCTTGTCTGGGTCCTTCTTGAGTACCAGGTAGATGTGAGGATAAAACCCCAGTGTAAAGACTGGTTTGTGAACCAACTCTACAGCTCTTCTTACCAACAGTATGTCTATGTTGGATTTTCCATATCAAACTGTGGTCAACGGTGGGGTTATCTCTACCCTTATACGGACACCATGATATAGTACGATAAGTACGAAATCGTCCTTGAGACTTGTCTCTGCCTGAGTCTTTATTGGAAACACTAAAAAGTCTTGGGTGTAACGGTAATCTCCGTCAGAACAGTCTCAAGGTGAATTTTCCTGTGGTAAAACTGACGCTGTAGGAAAATCACCATAGTTTGGAAGTGATCTAATCAGATAGGGTTATCCTCTAATAGATTCTGATCCACTGCAAACATTGACGATATTGGTGGCTTAAATGATGGAGCAAATGTGAGTTTGGAGAAGTCTTCCTCCAATGACCTCGTGGTGTCCCTCTTATTTACCCTGTTACCAGGGGAGGGCGTTACTGACAGGAGATGGTCTGCTTCCCAATCGGGTACATGTGCTAAGCTGATCATGTGCCGGTTACGTAACCGAGTACACTGTAAGCCTTTGGGCTAACGTCATTGTAGAGACCTTGATTGGTACGCAGGATGCTGCGCTCAGCGCAGGTCTAGATATGTTGGAACAGCGCTAAGCTGATCGTGCGTCGCTTGCGTAATAGGAGCGCTTGGGTAGCAGTCAGACACTGCGCTCGGCGCAGGTCTATGCTGGATATGTTTTCGAACAGCGCTAAGCTAATCGTGCGTTAAAGAAAGCGCTTGGGTGGTAGTCAAGTGCTGCGCTCGGCAAAGATAACTGAGACACAAAGCTCAAAGGTATTGACTGGATCAAGGCTTGCGTCTAATCTACACCCCATCATAGCATCTTGATACGCTGGTGCGGTCGCCGACGTCACAGATTAACATATCTGGAAGTTTCCCGAGGCTGAAAAAATAGGAGCAGTTACGATACTCACAAAATCCTCCGGTATTATTGATTTCGGTGGATGGTGTACTTCTGCAGTCACAGGCGTCATAATACCTGCTGATAATAACGGTTGGGTGGTAATGACCGAACCATGTCATTCGCTATTCTGCGATAGTGACATTCCTCTCGTCTCACGACGGAATAATTGCAAAATATGATTGTGAGTAACCTGCTTTTATATAGTTGGATAGAGATTTACACATCTTTGGGCGATTATACCACGACAATATGTACACCACGCAAACATAAGTTATGCAATTAAACCATTGAAGAAATGGTACTGGAAGAATGCCGTAGAATTGAACAATAATCTATCGGCAAAAAAACGAGTTGCAAGGGTATACAATATTTTTATATACGCAATTCAATGTAAACCAAGGCTATTTACATTTAGAGTTTCGAGAGCACATCTGCGCGCAAACCAACCAACGTGGATGATAATCTTTGTAAGGTTTTTTCCACTACAATTAGTACAACGCTCAAGGATATGTAACGCAATTAAACCCTTGTTGATGAGACGGTACTGGAAGAGTGCCGAAGAATTTAACAATAATCTATCGGCAAAATTATGAGTTGCAAGGGTATATAATATTTTTATATGCGCAACTCAATGTAAACCAAGGATATTGATATTTTCATTTAGGGTTTGGAGAGCATATCTGCGTGGACCAAACAACGTGGATGATAATCTTTGTAAGATTTTTTCCACGACAATTAGTACCACGCTCAATCATAAGTTACACAATTACACCATTGTTGATGAGGCGGTACTGGAAGAATGCCATAGAATTTATTGGCATAATCTATCGGCAAAACTATGAGTTGCAAGAGTATACAATAGTACATATACGCAACTCAATGTAAACAACAACAAAAAAAACCAAACTATTTACTTTTAGATTTTAGCAAACACATATATGTGTAAGCCATCTGACGTGGATGATAATCTTGGTAAGATTTTTCCACGACAATTAATGCAATCGCACAAACATAGGTACGCAATAAGAGAATTGTTGATGAAGCGGGGCTGGAAGAAAGCCGTAGATTTGATATTAATCTATCGGCAACCATATTTTTATACAATAACATGTATACAATAATATGAGTATACGCAACTCACTGTTACGCCAAAGCTAGTAGTATTTAAGAACATAAGAATATGTTATACATACGTAGCTGAGAAGTGAGAATTGTAAACAATATGACTACCTTGGCAGGCAAACGATTGTAACACAATTGAAAATGGCGGCGAACAACAAATATGTGGCGGGGAAAAAGACAAGAGATAAATTTTAGGATTGTAGACGAAAACTGAAGGTCTAAAATTAATCCAAAAGGAGAGCTCCGCTGGGACAAGTCCTAGCTGTGCTGCGACAAGCAGTGATGTGAAGATGACCTTAGGTGTCATCAAGGTCACAGGACAGCGACGGAAGGCCACTGATTGGGACTTTAGAACAACAACTTTATTTCTTCACCCAGGACCTTCGCAGCGCTGTCATTCTAGTTGTCGTAAGGTAAGCAGTGAATGCATTAAGGAGTAATGTATACATAAACAGGACAGCATAAACCTGTTTCCTGTATGTGATGTCACTTGCTGCACCAGCTGATACAACAATACAACCATCAACCTCTAATACAAACTCAGTATTGCAACGGCTTGTTGTTTGTGACACAAAAAATAACTTACATTTTCCTGTACAAAATCAATGAAATTCTGTGCATCTGGGTCGTCCTCATATCGAGTGATGAGGTTTTCCTGAAGAACATTGATGACGAAATCTTTGGCCTTGTCTCGGAACACAAATGCCAGGACAGCCCCAGCCACTTCTAGCAGGAAGATGATGATGATAATGATGTAGAACTGAAACACAGACAGGACATTAACACTTGTGTTTACATGTTTATTGGAATATTGAAGACCAAATATTTCATCAATTATTCTCAATGCTCCTTAACAAGAAATGAACAAGCATGGCAGACTGCTAGTCACATTGATCTTGTTTACATTTGGAACATTTATCAAAGATCATCTTGTTCATACATGATGATGTTATACAAATTATACACATATATATACAACATTTTAAAAGACATCTCATGTTGCGACTTCTGATCTCATTGATATCAAATAAAAGTTATTTATGTTGCACAACAAAAGACACAGTGACAATAACTTGAATAAAGAATATAGAAACGTGCCATACATGGTTTTGGAATTGAACAGGAACAATGACTGTTCATATTGCGAGACAATCTGGCTATAAACGTGTTATTCTGTGCATGTTATAAGAACGGGCATGCTTTTAATGTAACAGTTGTTTTGAAGGAACCCATAAAAGTGAACATGGCAACAGATATGTCAGTTGTTTGAGTGAATGCACCATGCCCTGATCAGGAACAATCACTGATGGTGGGCATGAATGAAGCTGATCAAGACAGGGTAACTGTTCGTTCTCACTCCTGGGTACTGACCTACTAGAGTCCACTACTGCCAGGCAGACAGTGGAACCCACCACAGACCTGAGTCCACAACAGGGGTGGAAATTTTAAAAAAACTTCACTTGCAATCGGAGAAGTTTAAAGACAATTTTCACTTGCCCTGATTTCATTTTCACTTGCCCAAATAATTTCAAAATAAAACTTCAAATCATCAATATGTGTTTATTTACCATTGAACAAAATTACACTACACCAGCACTGTTATATCTACATAAGGACTCGGGTAAATTCTAAATGAACATCGGAAACCTCATGACTTGTCAAATAATGTTTTTTCGAAATTGTGTACAACCGTTAACAAAAACATGTTTCTTATTTCTGGATGTTACAGTTGGATACTGACAACAAATTCTGCACTTCATGACATTTTGTTTTTCGTCATACACTAACCATGGAAACTCATCGCACCAACTCTGAATGAATTTTCTGTCCCGTTTTTTCGGCATCATACTTCTTGTTCTTACAACATGTGTCCTCATTTGGTCGTTTTCTTTTACATGATCAGTAGATGATTCGCTATCATCGGCATTTTCAGATTTATTTTCACTTTCCCCACCGAAAAAACTTTTAATCGACGCCTGCTTGTGTGTCGCCATAACCGGGTTTACATAGGAGACAGTCACAGGCCACGACGTGTTTCAATTACGAGACCCCTCTAGGCAGTATTGATCATTTATCAATTATCAGATCCCTCTAGGCCGCAATGAGAGAAAAGCTTTCAAACCGAGTGTAGAAAGTTCTTTCATACTGTTCCGATTGAATATTAAAACGAAAATAGAAAAGGGACGTAACTCTAAGTCTCATGTGTTCTTTAATAGTGTCAGTTTTTCGCGAAAGCGTGATTAAGAAATTTCTCTCGGCTAATTTATTGTACCATTTTACCAGCAGTTAGACATCTAGACAGTGATAGTAATTTCCAATATTACTTGCATCCGGACAAGTTAAAGTAAGTTATTTTGTTGCCCGACCTCGTATTTCTACTTGCAAATTTCCACCCCTGCACAAATACAGTGTGTCAGTTGTCAATGGAAAATCTCAGGTCCATACTTTGGGATGTGCATTTCTCGAAGCATGTTTAGTATTGAGTTTACATATATTTTTCAACAAGACACAAACATGTATTCTGTATGGTACTTGTTATTTGGTGTACCAACAGCTGATCAAGTGAATAGACTGTATTAGACTGTCTCAGTATTGAGTGGTAAATGAAACATTTGTGCAGAGAGACATCTAAAGTTACCTACAGATAGATAAGACTAGTGCATCCACAAACAGTTTTTCAAAAAGTCCAAGAGCTTCAACTCACAACCCTGAAACTTTTGTTTTTGAACTTCAGAGAACAAAGAAGAGTTGCTGTGTGGCAGAAACAAATTAGACTAGGGGGCACTGTGAATGTTATTTATGGCCAACCAGGAAATACTAGAGAATCTGTAACAGTTTCAATTTGCATATCAAATTTTGTTATCATTCACATGTTTTTACACTAAAAAAACTTGAAATGTTTTGTTTGTTTGTTGTGTCTATTGTTAGCAATATTCCAATTATATGGTGGTTGTCTGTCAATATATAAGTTTGGCCAGACAATCCAGTGATTGACTACCTGATCCTTTTTGTGGCGTCTTACGACCAGCATAGCTTATTGGGGACCCATACTCCTACCCACAATCCCCATGTGAGAAGAGAATAACATTAGGAGTTTGGTATCTAAATTAGAAACAGACATGACCCCTCACTAGAGGTGTAACAATACGGGAGGGTCGCGATACGATACGCGATACGATACGTATCACGATACAGTGTTTACTGGTACAAGCTAAGCCAAGTTGATGTCTTTCTGCTCTCTAAAAGATGTGACAAGTACATTTGAAGAAACTATTTTTTTTATAAGGATAATATATAGAGGTTATCACGCGAGTGTGTTTGGGGATGGTAAATATCCTGCATTAGGAATAAACAGTGTTTATTCCTAATACAGGATATTTACCATCCCCAAACACACAAGCATTATAACCTCTTTATCATATAATGTCATTCTTTAATTCTGTGCTTTAAAATCGCTTTCCCTCTCTCACAAACATTACCGAAACATTGCGAGCTTTCCTGGAATGCGCGCATTAATATTTATTACGTCACAGGGTAAGTGATGTGTCAGTAGGACTGTGACAGTAGCCAATATAGTTCCAACTGAAATCTGTTTCATATACAGAGGCGAAGCAACATATACGCAAAACAACAGTTGTTTTTAATTGCCTTTCGTGGCAATCCATCGGTCTGTCCGCTAGAGTAACTGCCCTTTGTCAAAGGGAAGCTACTCTAACCCTAGTCTATGAGTCACGGCCACGGTCAGACGTTGTTGACAGTCGGTCTGTCCTTTCATAACGTTAAGAAGTGTAGTCAGATGTACACACAGTGACAAATCGAAACAAGGTAACAGTTCAAACATATTTCGGCCGAATCCAACCATTTTGATTTGTGGAGAAGGTTTCAAGCCACAGAGGTCTACAAGCACAGATATGGCTACTAATCCCGCTTGGCTAGGCCTCGTGCCCTCGCAAAATTGTTTCAAAATTTATATCTCGAAAGTTGCCAAAACTTATAAAATGCCTTAGCTACGTCACGGTTAGACACTGATTTTCAGTATATTAGACTGTTCGTTTGATAATGATAGCAATTATCCCTGTAGTTTATCCAGATTCACGATGGTTAATTCTGACTCGATCGCCGAATGACGAGGGCGACGCCATGTTTGTTTATAAACAGTGAAAGTAGTCCTACTTGACCTTTGGTATTTGCATCTCTATCCGCATATGACCCCAACGGATATCGTTTTTATCCGTTGGCTTTATCCTGCCCAGAAACCTACCCATTATATGATAAATTCCAATATCTTGTTAATTTAGATGCAGCTTTTACTAAACATATTTAAAATAATAATAACCCTAAGCGAAGCAGCTGATCGCTATTGCCGGGTATTATTTTTTACATGCAACCAGTCTGACCAGTCACCGTCAAGGCTCCACTGCACGTGATCGCTTTATCGCTTGATCGCGAGAATTACGTGTTGACATAGAATCGTCCAACAAAAACAAATATGACTTTCAACGAATCAAAGTATGGCATTTAGGATATATGTATCCATTCTCTGTCAACTAAAGTTCGTTTCAAGGCGTCAATGGCGGTAATCTGACCGTGGTTGCTGTTAATAATGGTGAGTTGTGCGATCTTCCGATCGCTTCACACACGATTTCGACGAAATTAATTAAAACAATATTAAAAGGAATTTTGAATAAAATAAATGAAATAAGTTACAAACAAAAGTCAAGATATACAAAGAACACTTTTTATAGCCAGACAGTGTAATTACATGAATAATTTGCGAACTTCAGTATGGATTTGTTGACATGGTATTTCCGGTGTTACGTGCTCACGGTAATGTCTTTCCATGGGGGAAAAAACTTCAAAACTCATTAATTCGTGTATAATGCGCACCCCCTTCTACACAGCTGTGTTTTTTCGGAAAAAAGTGCGCACTATACTCAAGAAAATACGTCAAGTAAAACTGTGTTATGAAAATATTGTATGTATCGCGATACATGCTTTCCAAATCAATGCATCGTATCGTGGGCTGTGCATCGGGATACAATACTGTATCGCCATATCGTTACACCACTAGCCCTCACATGTCTCAGGTGTGTTATTCAAAGAAACAAACCCATAATTCAAATTTGAAATATCACACTTCTCAATCACCATGTCTTCTTATTTCATTGTGTTAATACACTGTATAGATGTACAATGGTAAGTATTACCATCCTGTGTTTATCATCAACGGTCACACCTTACATACATTCTGCTATTAATAACAGTAATGACTGGTTACTTACAAATTTGAGAAGGCATGTGTTTTCCCTGAGAGCACCCACACATCCTGAGAAGCCAAGGAAGAAGATGATAACGCCCACCACGATGAAGATGATTGACAGGTCAAAGATGACATCATACACATTCTGGATATCTACGTGGGAAAAGCGGTTCTTCTCAATAAAGGCATATATCCCTACAGCAACCAGCAGACAGCCAATCAGCTGAAAACAGAGAAACACAAACATCACAGGACTTCAAAATAACAGTTTACCACACCACAGGTCAGTCATATGATGTACAGTAAAACATGCTAAAAATAAACACAGATATAATGATGATAATAACGTACAGTTACAATGAACTATTTCACGTTCAGACTGTTTTATAATATACTACTCAACTTTGTTCACGATAATCAGATATCAGGTATGTATCTTTGTTGTTTAACGTCATACTCAGCAATATTCCAGCTACATGATGGCAGTCTAAGTAATCGTGTCTGGACCAGACAATCCAGTGATTGACATGAGCATCGATCCACGCAATTGGGATACGATGGCATGCATCAACCAAGTCAACGAGCCTGAACCACCCAATCCTGATAGTCGCCTCTTACGACAAGCTGAAGGGTTGCTGAAGACCTATTCTTAAACTGACCTTCACAGGTCAGATATATCTAGATATACACTTGACATATGGGAATCAGTTTTGTGTATGGTGGAAAGATTCAAATATCCCTATCAAAAGTGGAGCAGTATCTATACATCATCTAATCATCACATAACATTCATGGGAGAACTGACTTCCATACAACGAGGTAAATCAATATTTTGTTACATGGGTACTGAGCTGGTCCATCTGAATCACTGAATCAGTGCCACCATCAGAGGTAAATCGAACAATGCACTTGTTAATATCCCAGTATCATGTTTATCACCATGCATACAACTTATTGAACCTCAACCATGTCAACTGGTGCCAATAACAGACAGAACAAAGACACACACCAATCAGCAGCATTGCAACATTGGTTCACTTATTGCAACACTTGTCTTCCTGTTTCACAAGTATTAAGTGGTTTTTAACCAATTCTAAACATATGTTTTTATGTTAAATGTTTATTACAATATAAAAAAATGCCAATACCAGAGAATAACCAGTGTCGATTATCCACCAAAACAGATTCCATTGGGTGTAAAAGACAGTGTCTAAGGATCCCGCTGAGCTGTAGGTTGTGTTATATGTCACAGACAACTCCCACTCTTCGTACTGAATTCTAGTGCTGTAATATGTGTTTCTTAGATTGCCAAATTATTCTGTTACCACTTACAATAATACCAAGAAGTTGACATGAATCATTGTTCTATTATCATCCAGCACAAGTTGAATTGATAAGGTTATTTACAACAGTTTAAATACATATGGTACAAACATAAATATTAAATCTGCGTTTTCACAATAGACAGTGATTGATATATCATGATAAAGCTGGTATGAAAAGAATCCCAACTGGTCAACATGTAATCAACAAATCAGTTCACACATATACAGGTCCAGATATACAACGAACACTTCATTTTAACCAGATGTGGGATAACAGGACTAAGTTGCATACTTCTTTATTCATCAGTTGACTTGCTGTTTCCAGTGTTACATGCTCACTGTAATGAATTTGCATTAGAAAAAGTTAAAACTTATTGTATGCATGTACTGTGAGCACCCCTCCACATGGCTGTATTTTGAAGGAAAATAGTGTGCAATTTACACAAGAAGGTACTGTGCTTAGACAATGGAACAGCAATCATCACCAGCAGCAGGTAAAAGCAAACAGTATAAATCATGTGATGTTAACCTCAAACTTCAGGTAGTACAGTAAGCATGGTAAGCAAAATTGAATTCCACAGAAGCATCATCTACTGTGCTGATCTAGGAAGTTTTATGTAGCCTCAAAATGGGTTGGAGAAAGGTGTTAAAAAGAATCAAGTTTGCTCTGCTACTTGACATCTGCCAAGAGAATGCAACTTAATGGTGAAGGAATATTCTTTTGTGGTGGCATGTCGGGGAACTGAACACCTGACTACAGAGGCAGTCTGAAAAGTACTAGTCTAGAAATGCGGCTCATCAGCTGGATAGAAGACCCTAGCCAGGTACCAGACAGATGTCACATGTCAGTCACACAAGGCGACCCTAGCCAGGTACCAAACAGGTGTCACATGTCAGTCACACAAGGTGACCATAGCAAGGTACCAGACAGGTGTCACATATCAGTCACACAAGGTGACCCTAGCCAGGTACCATACAGGTGTCACATATCAGACAACCAAGGCGACCCAAGCCAGGTACCAGACAGATGTCACATGTCAGTCACCCAAGGCGACCCTAGCCAGGTACCAAACGGATGTCACATATCAGCCAACCAAGGCGACCCAAGCCAGGTACCAGACAGATGTCACATGTCAGTCACACAAGGCGACCCTAGCCAGGTACCAGACAGGTGTCACATGTCAGTCATCCAAGGTGACCCTATCCAGGTACCAGACAGGTGTCACATGTCAGTCACACAAGGTGACCCTAGCCAGGTACCAGACAGATGTCACATGTCAGTCACACAAGGCGACCCTAGCCAGGTACCAGACAGGTGTCACATGTCAGTCACCCAAGGCGACCCTAGCCAGGTACCAGACAGGTGTCACATGTCAGTCATCCAAGGCGACCCTATCCAGGTACCAGACAGGTGTCACATGTCAGTCAAACAAGGCGACCCAAGCCAGGTACCAGACAGGTGTCACATGTCAGTCAAACAAGGCAACCCTAGCCAGGTACCAGACGGATGTCACATGTCAGTCAAACAAGGCGACCCTAGCCAGGTACCAAACAGATGTCACATGTCAGTCACACAAGGCGACCCTAGCCAGGTACCAGACAGATGTCACATGTCAGTCACACAAGGTGACCCTAGCCAGGTACCAGACAGATGCAGCTGTAATACCAGAGGGGCGCACAAATTCATATTTAAATTAGTTGATGTTAATTCATGCATATTTGATGTGACCTTCTTCGTATCAGCATATTAGATCAGCAGTTGGATATAGAACTACTCATAAGAAGGTTGGTACTATTGTTTGCATGTTTTGGATGCAGTTTCACATTACTATGTTCACATTCACTCTCTCGATATAGATTCTGTATCAAGAGCATATATTTTACTGTATGCCAATTTATTAGCGATGGTAGCTTATGCAACACTGCAGTTGAAATAGTATACACTGGGTCTCTAGTTACTGTCAGGCCTCCATTACCCACCAGGTTTGGAAGCTTGTTCAAAGAATAAAGCCAGGGTGCTCATGAGAGGAAACAAAGTATTGCGAAACCATCCTATAACATAGCATGGTAAGCATGGTAAGAAAACCTTGTGTATAAAGTTTCAAATCATCACAGACATAACCATGGTAACAAAAGACAACATTCCAATAATTGAAAATAATGAGAAACTTTGAAATGTTTGAAGACAAATGGTATGTCTGCAGACTGATGTCACATTTTCAATCTTCATGATACTGGGGGATCTTTAATTACTTCTGGGATAGTAATGTATTTTTTCAAGTGTGCCACAGGAGACTCCTAGAATTGTTCTGGTGTGACCTTTGGAATTAACACTTGATTTACATGATCAGGGTGTGCCATTCTCTCAAGCAAGGGGGTTAACTTTGATCCATCATCAAATTTGGTGAATGTCATTCCCTCAAGGCTGAAGGAGTAGTAGTAACTTTGAAAGTTTGCCCAGTTTTTTTCATGTGATTCATAAACATGATAACACCTTTTTGCTTTTCTTAACAGGATTAATACCCACTCCAACTAATGATGTATGCCCCTGACAGGATGGGTGTATGCGTGTTATCTGTGCTAAAGTCTCAGCATCATATGCCCCTGTGTTGTAACCTGTTAACTCAAGTGTTCTCATGGCGCATCCATAACAACATGTTAGTCATTGATTACCAGCTGAAGTCATAAAGCGTGTCATTTAATCAATAGGACAGAATGGATCACTTGCTGTGAATAACCATCTATAATCAATATAAGCCACTGACATTTTTCTCAGTAGTACAGTCAATGAACAGCTGATGAAGGGTTTAAGCTCATAAACCACACATGGCAAATGGCAAATGGCAATGTTTACAGAATCAAATACAAGCACCGAATAAGCTGTAAATTTACTGCATGCTAAACAATAAAGCATAAATGAAATAGATGTTTCACCTGAAAAACATAATTAAATGTGTACTGCTGTAATGCAGGAAAGAGGAAAAGAACAGGGAAAGTCATCTATTTTAAGACACTCATCAACTACACACCACCTGTCACATATTATACCTGTTCTTAACAATGCTTAAAGTTCAGAAATCAACAATATGATACCTCCAACTGAATTGCACATAAGGCGTGGTTGCATGGCTGACCATGTTACAATGGTTTAGGTAAAACCAACCTTGCACTATTGTAGTAAATGAGTGATTAGGCAGATCAATATTCATTGATACACAGTTAAATGTTCAATAAACTTTCTAACAGACATAGACAAATACACTAACATGATTATTAAGCCTGTTGTGGGAATACTAGTATTGTGTGTGGATTTTCCACAAGTCTTGCGTGTGGATTTTCTTTTGGCAAAATTTCCAAATCAATGTGGCAAAAACCGAATCGTTTAAAAAACACACAAAATATACAATATTAATAAGCTGGGAATTTTGAACTGTGGAGACCCTGCCTTCACAAGAATTATTTTGGGGCGTAGGCTATCACACGTATGATGAGACAGTGTTTTTAGCATTGTGGAGGGCAGACGGGGACGGTGATGAGAGGGAGTGCTAAAACAACATCTGCCCAACTCTCCTCACAACCAATGTTCTCTCGGTGACAAAACGAAGTCAACATTTCTGAAAGGTGTTCTCACATGAACAAACGTTTAAGTAACCAGGCATGGGGTTATGTAAGCTCTTGTACATTTATATGTTGATAAAGATATATATACAATGACAATATAAGCATGAGTAAAACATGTCGATAGTAATTTCTCCAGGGTATAGGTACTGCATGTATAACGGAGATATACCACACAGGCTACTCCTGCCTGGGGTTTGTTTAGTGTTTCAAGCAAAGTGTAACACAGGTAAAACATTTAGAAATACCATGAACACTGGCATGGCAATTTAACATGTTG